GGAGGAGGAGAGAAAGGAACAAAAAATTTTGAAGAAAAAAATGATTTAAAAGTTTCTACATTTGAAGAAAACTGTAAGTTGTACAAGAAGTTCAACAAAACCCAAAAGTAAGAAACTGGAAGAGAAATACCATCAGGCCCCTCAGAATCAAACTGCTTGGAACCAGGGGTAAAGAAAAACCCTTACACGGAGGAGGGGGAGGGGCGGAGGAAGACACGCTACCTACACAGGAGCAAAGTCAAGGGCTGCACCAGATTTCCCGACGCAAAAAATGCAAGGGAAAAGTCAATGAAACGTCATCAAAGTACTGAAAGAGAAAAACTGTCAACCTAGAATCCTACACTCAGAGAAACAGCTTTCAAAATCAAAGGCAAAATGAAGTCTCACATACGCAGGAGCAGCCCACACTACGCGAAATATTAAAGCGAGTCGTACAGACAGAAGGAAAATTATATCAGTTGGAAATCTGGAGCTAAAAAAAGAACCAAAACACCAGAAATGGATGTAAGATTGTTTTATTATTTCAAACTTATTTAAAAGACAGTTGACTGTTAAAGCAAAAAAACAATGCAGCATGGGGTTTAAAACATACATAAAACTAAAATGCATGGTAAAGTTCGCACAAAGGACTGGAGAGGAGAAACCAAGACGTACTACTCTAAGCTCTTCCCCGACCTGTGAAGTGGGATCAGAGCCCTGGAAGGCACCCTGGGTAAGCTAGATGTGTGTACTGTGAACCCTAAAGCAGCCAGCAAAGCAACAAAGCAGAGAGTTACAGCCCATGAATCAGCAAGGGAGATAAAACAGAATCGTACACAAAATTTCGTTCAGTCAAAAGGCAGAAAAATTAGAAGAAACAAAGATGACAAACATAAATGCAACCATATCAATAATTACATTAAATGTAAGTGATCTATGTTCCTCAATACCTAGAAAACCCCCTGTTAAGTAAAAGAAGCTAGTCACAAAAGACTACCAACGAAATGTCCAGAACAGGCAAATCCATGGAGACGGAAAGTAGATCAGTGGTTATGAGGGGCTGGAAGGAGGGTGGGAAGGGAAGGCCAATAGACGCAAAGTTTCTTTTGGGAGGTATATAAAAATGCTCTGAAACTGGATAATCGTAACGGTTGCACAACTTAGTGAATGTACTAAAACCCCACTAAATTGTACACTTTAAAAGGGTGGATTCTACGGTACGTAAATGATTAAAAGCACAATAACAATACAACAAAAATACCCCCCAAAAGGTGCTGAAATAGTAAGTATATATTTTCTTAGATCCATCCCTTCAAGAAGAATCTCACCCCCACTTCACTTCGTAAGGTCTGAGTACGTGATTTGCTCTGGCCAATAAAATGCAAGTTGAAGTCACGTGTACCACCGCCTAGCAGCCATCTTAAGATACATTTCCACTAAACCGCTGTTCCATTTGCTGTGAATCTGGTTTATCTCGCATATGGGCTGGTCACTGGCCCAGAAATGAAGAAGTGGGAAGCAAAGATGTGCTCTGCAGTTTGAGATGAACGTGAATGTGAGCAAGAAATAAAATTACGTCATTGCAATTTTTTAAAGGTGATCTAATTACCTCAATTAAAAGGTGAAGATGATCAGACTGTGTTCTAAAAAGCAAGACCCATTACATGCTGCCTAACTGACAAACTTTAAAGATAAAGGAAAAAAACAGAATAAAAGTAAAGGATGGGAAAATATAAAAAAGGGAAAATAAATACAAATTTAACATTATTCAAAAGAAAGGTGCAACGACTGTATGAGATAGAGCAGATTTTGAAGCAAACAGTATTAATAGGGACAATGAAGGCATTTCACAACAGGACATAACAATTCTAAATGTTTATACACATAACAACGAAACTTCAAATTACATAAAACAAAGACTGATAAAATTTAAAGAGAAATAAATCCACAATTATAGTTGGAGGTTTCGATACTCTTCTCTCAATATCAGATACAAGTAAACAGAAGAGCAGCAAAGATACAGCAGACATGAACGACAGTATCAAACAATTTGAAATAATTAACATTTATAGAACACTCCACCAAACAGCAGCCGAACACACACTCTCCTCAAGTGCACACAAAACATTTATAAAAACAGACCATGTTCAGGACCATAAAATGAGTCTCAATAAAAACAAAGGGCTGTTGCTAAAGCAGGGCTTAAGGAGAAATGCACAGCACAGAACACATTAGAAAAGAGGAAACATCACAAAAACATTACTAGGATACAAGACATTACAAATAAAGGTCAACAGTATCAGAAGACAACTACAGACTGATTTCCATCCTGAGCATAGATGCAAAAATTCCAAACAAAATTTTAGCACATCAAATCCAACACTATTTTATACACCATGCTAAGTGGGGTTTATCCCAGGAATGCAAAGTTAGCTTAACATTCAAAAATGTATGTAATTTGCCACATTAGATTACAAGAGGAAAACTGTCGATCATTTCAATAGATTGAGGAAAAGCATCTGACAAAATCTAACATCTATTCCTTATAAACTCTTAGCAAATGAGAAACAGACAGGAACTTCCTCAATCTGATAAAAATTATCTACGAAAACCTACAATTAACTTCATATTTAATGCTTTCCCCCTAAGATCAGGAAAACAACAAACCTATCTGTTCATCACTTACATTCAAATTTGTAATGGAGATACTAGCCAGTTGCAATAAAGCAAGAAAAAGACATAAAAGGCATCTATATTGTAAAGAAAGATGTAAAAATGCTCTTATTCACAATATAGAAAAGCTAATGGAATCTAAAAAGAACAACAAAACCTATCAGAACAGATGAATTTAGCAAGGCAGCAGGATACATGAACAATGAAAGAAAAATGACTGTATTCCTATATGGTAGCAATGAACAATCAAAAATTAAATTTAAAAAAAACATGCACAAGTAGTAAGTAAATGAGAAACATTATTACGTTCATGGGTGGAAGGCGATATTGTTAGGGACTCAACACTAGTCTGATCAAAATCTCAGCAAGTGTTTTCGTAGAAATCACTTGATGTTAAATTCACACGGGACAGCTAAGGACCAAAAACAGTCAAAAGAGCAAAGCTGGAAGATTAACACTATCTGATCTCAAGACTTACTATAAAGCTACAGTAATCAAGACAGTGCCATATTGGCATTAAGGTAGACGGATCAATGGAGCAGAAAGACTCCAGAAATAGGCACATACATATATGGACAACTGATTTTTGACAAAAGTATAAAAGTAATTAAGTGGAGGAAGGATAGTCTTGTCAACAAATGCAAAAAAAATTAAATATGGATATTGAAAAACTGAACTTTGATCTATACTTTGTTATCATATGTAAAAATAAAATGGATTATAATAAATGTAAAGCGTAAAACTATATAACTGACCTGGAATCATCAAAAGCACAGTCCATAAAACAATTTCAAATTAGACTTAATCAAAATTTAAAATCTTTGCTCTTCAAAAAATACTGTTAAGAGAATTATAAGCCACAGATTGTGAAAAAATATTTTGAAAGACATATCTGGGTAAAGGACTTGTACCCAAAATACACTAAGAACTCTTGAAACACAGTAATAAGAAAGCAAACAACCTAATTTTTTCAAATGGGCAAAAATTTCAAAAAGACATTTAATCAAAGATGATACATTAATGGCAAATAAGCACATAAAAAGATGCTCAACACCATTAGGGAAATGCAAATTGAAAACCATAAGATACCAATACCTAACAGAGTGGCTAAAATTAAAAAGACTGCCTGCACCAAGTCTTGGTAAGGATGCAGAAGAACTGAAATGTTCATACACTAATGATCAGAGTATGAAAAAGTATAGGCCCTTTGGAAACCAGTTTGACAATTAAATGTACACCTCAACCAGCCATTCCATCCCCAGGTATTTGTCCAGGAGAACTGAAAGCATACATCGATAGAAAGGTTTTTACACAAATGTTTATAGCATTTCACAACAACAGGTGAGTAGGTAAAATGTGATATAGCTATATGGTGGAATACTACTAAGCAATAAAAAAGGAATGACCTATTCATATGTGATACAACATAAATGAATCTCAAAATAATGATGCTAGTGAAATAACCCATTAAAAAGGAGTATATACTATGATTCCATTTCTATAAAATTCTAGAACATGCAAACTAATCTACAGTGACCAAAAGCAGATTAACAGCTGCCTGGGAATAAACAGGCAGATAACGGGTATGTTCATTTTCCTGGTTTTGGTGACAATTTCACAGGTATCTACACATGTCATAACTTATCAAATTGTATACCTTAAGTGTGTATGCTTTATTATGTCAGTTACATACCAAAAGAGCTGTTAGAAATTATCTGTTATTATCCTCAGAGCCAGTGGTGGTATATAACCTTGACTGAACACAAAAGGATGTTCTGCCAGTAATTCTTTTGTAGCTGATGCCCTAAAGAACTTCTGATTATAATACAGTGAAAGGGCACACAGGGTCCACAGAACACATTAATAACAGAGTAAACAAGTATTTTATTTCATATCATTAAAAGAAAAGAATACTTTGCCTTCCATGAATAAATTTATGAAGAAACGTTCCATTCTGAACCACAAATCAGACAGCCATCCCAAATTATTCTACACCTTAACCAAAGGGGACTGCTTAGAGAGTTTAAAAAAAAAGTGGTAGTTTTATTTGTCCTAAATTTTTTTTCTAAAATTCAGGAAGAAGTCAGAGAATTTGCTATATTAAGAAAACAAATCACTAAAGCCATCTGAGCCAGAAAAAAATTTTAGTCCAATTTTAGTTTTAAGACCAACTCCTCCAAAAAAGACTTGACTACTTTGTTAGGTAACTGTGATAAACACAGAGCCAAAAACCAGAAAGTAAACATTCTTAATACAAACAAATATTTAAATTTTGATTATGGCACATATGTGTATGTGAACGGCTGAGTCTGTACGACAACTAGAGAACAGCCAAGCCCCTCACTCACCTATTCTGCTCCTCCAGCTTAGCCAGGAGTTCTAAGTCGTCTGGACTCAGCTGCGACGGGGAGGCCGGTGAGAGGGCCGGCGTCGACAGCGTGGTAGATGAGGACGTGGTGTGTAATGAAGCAGATGGACTTGCCACCTGACTGGCCATCTGACTGACTGTGTGTGATACTGTGTTCTTCACCCATGAGAGAGTAGAACTCAACTTCTCTGCAACCTTGTCTGTCGCCACCTAAGGATAAAAATAAAAATTGCACGTATTTCAGTTCTGTTGTATGCATTAACAAGAACTCGGTAATCCTGTTAAGTTTTGCTTGATAACCTCCATCATAATATTCTCTTTGAGTTAATAAAGACAAAACCTGTTTTAGCAATGATTATGCTAACATACAGCTTTTGGAAACTCTATTTCAGTTCCGCAGCAAGGACAAAATAGATGAGTGTTTACCAAACTACAGGCTAAGTCCATCAGAAAGTGATAGAACCAATTTAACAGGTAACACCAGCATTCTTAAAAATGAGAAAGAATAGAAAGTGCCAATGTAAAGATATGTTGTCTGATAAAATTTCTGTCTCAGTTATAAAACTATGTACTACGTGGGGGGGCATGCTGAGTTGGGATAAAAAACATACTCCTTTTTGAGGTTGTTGTCAAAAATACTTGAACATCAAGGAAATAAAACATATCCATTAGGTGATGAGGGTAGGGAAATCCCATAACATGACCAACAATTCAACAAAAACTGGGCTTAGCATCAGGAGACTCATGTGTCTTCAAATAACTCAAGAGTGGTGTATTTTTACCACCAAAATATCAAGTTAAAAAAAAGAATTATTTTTATAGTAGAGAGAACAAAACTACAATAAATGATTGCATTAACAGAGTAAGAGAGTTCCACGGTATAATTTTCAAATAGTTAGAACTAGTCAGAAACAGAATGAGATGGCATCCCCTACCAATGGCTACAATTAAGAAGCAATTAGAAGAGCTGAAAGTCAAGAGCTGAAGATGAGTTTGTGTTTCAGGTGGGCAATGAGGACTAGAAAAGCCTTTAGAATCTGCCTCATCAGGTTCAGTGAACTAAACCAAAGTCTATCTGGTCTTCATAAACCATGCCCGTCTCCCAAGCAGACACGTCCACAACAAATTCAGTTAAAAGACAATGTACATAAATAATATTCAAACAAAGCATTATCACTTCAGTAATGGAAAACAATATGAACAACAGCCATATTTGAGTATCTATATAAAACTAAACGATCCTGGTGAGTTTACAAAATAAGGTACTTTAATGAGTTTTTGTACTTTTTAAAAACTATCACAAAAAGAGGTTGATTGTGACGTTCTTAGACAGACACTATGAAGCGCTTTTATGTGCTTTAAGAAGATCTTAAATTTTATGCAACAGGTGGCTAAAGCAGAATAAATTATTTTCTGGATCAGCATATTCTCAGCTAACCTTGCTTACATACAGCAATTCACACACAAACAAGTTAAAACACCAACACAGACACACAAATAAAATCCCACCCAGACTATCTCAGCAGATACTACTGCTCTGTCCTCAGGGGTCGCCGAAGGCTTTCTTTCCTCTTCACATTAACACATACACGACTCTCTCTACTCCTCCGTCCCCCTCTCTACTCCTCCGTCCCCACTTCCTCCAGCTCAACACAGCAGCCGGAAAATTCAATGCAGAGAAAGGATAACATGGAAAATGGACTCTGAGGCCATAGTTAAGCCAACCAACATGAGGCCGGAACTTTTAAAACAAAGATTTTATTACAAGTGAATCGGGGCAAGAGTTTTATTAACCTAAGGATAGCTCTCATTTCTTTTCCATTTTCAGTAACTTTTCCCCTTTTGGAACTTACTTCCCCTGGAATGGTGTTAACAGAAGGGATCAGGGAACTCTTACTGTTGAGGGAAGACTCCCCAAGAAAGATAAGCAGGATGAAGTGAGAGAGCCAAGCAAGAGCAGCATGGGGCAGATCATTTAAGGTTCCAGGCAAAAAAAGCCTCCTTGCCAACGAACAGCCCAGCAGCACAGCTCATCATGGCAAAACGCCACACAGGAAGGAACCAAACGTTGAGGCAGGACGTCCTTTCTGCCCGGAGAGGTAAGAGCCATGGCAGACAGCAAGGTGGCCTGATCTGTCATCATCTTACTGATCTTCTCCACAAGGGTACAACTACAAACTCAACTGCGGAGGTGGCACTAATTTGCACCTCAAAAGCATACTCTACTTTAAAACAGAAAATCTAATATGTAAAATTTACAGAAAATGTTACCCTTGGATGGACCTAGAGATTATCGTATTAAGTGAAGTTAAGTCGGAGAAAGACAAATATCATGTAATATCACTTATATGTGGGATCTTTAAAAAAATGATACAAATGAACTTACTTACAAGCCGGAAATACTCACACACATAAAAACACAAACTATGGCTACCGAAGAGGACAGGAATGAGGGGAGAGGGATAAACTAGGGTTTGAGGATTGTCAGATACACACTACTATGTATAAAATAAACAACTGTACAGCACAGGGAACTATATTCAGTATCTTGTAATAACCTACAATGGAAAAGAATCTGAAAAAGAATATATACATGCATGTGTAACTGAATCACTTCACTGTACACCTAAAACTAACACAACATTGTATATCAACTATATTTCCATAAAGATAAATTTTAAAATAATGTTACCCTTTACTAAAATTGACCATTGATGTCAAATACACCTAGAACTTTCAGGCATTAATGCTTTACATTTCCATTATATAGAAGTCTTCTACCTGAGCTAACTGCAGCAAAGGCAAAAGACACCTATTTTATTCGCTTTAATTTATTTTAAGAAATAAATTAAAAATTTATCATACCCCTTCTGCACACTGTAGCAACGGGCTTCCATCTGAAGAGTTTAGAATAATCAAGAACACAGTCCTGACATCCTATCAACCTTGACAAAACGCGACTGAGTCTGTAACTACTGAAGGCTTCACAACCTATCTCCTCATTTTAAATCCTTAAATATAGCTGGAGTATTTAATTGCACTTGTACTTTAATAACGTTTAATACTCATGGTTCTAGAAATCCCACAGGACTGAGTTATTTTTCATGTGTCATCATGTCCTATTTTTCCTTTAACTCTGCTTTTTCAAATCTCTGCCTCGCCACCTCTACACCTCTCTCCCTCATCCTATGGTCAATTGAGGACATGAAGACACAGTAAATCTGACAGTGCAATTATGTCACAAAGTTCCTGTCTACCTCATGGAGGTGTTATGCATTTATTTTGAAACATGAACATACTCTGAAAAGGTTAAAACCATCATTAAAAACACTGAGCAGTCAGACACAAAGGGCCGCATATTGTATGATTCCATTTCAGTAAAATGTCCAGAACCGGCAAATGCAGAGATAGAAAGCAGTTTAGCGGCCTGGACGGCTTACAGGAGGGCAGATGGGGGACGACTGCTAATAGGCGCAGGGTTTCTTCCTGGAGTGAGGAAAACATCCTCGGATTGGACTGTGGTGACACTTACACAGCCCTGTGAATACATTAAACGCCACCTAACTGTACACTTTAAAGGAGTGGATTTTATGGCACGTGAATTATATCTCAATCTTAAAAGGGCCTCAATCTGAAAAATCTACATGATGTGTAAGTCCAACTACTTGACTTTCTGGAAAAGGCAAAACTATGGAGACAGTAAAAAGATCAGTGGTTGCCAGGGGTCGGGGGAGGAGAGGGACGAAAAAGCGGGGCACACAGGATTTTAGGGCAGTGAAAACACTCCCCATGACACAGTGACAACAGCTACATGCCATCACACATCTACCTGAACCCACAGGATGGGCACCACAAAGAGTGAAGTGTAACGTCAACTGTGGGCTGCGGGTGATCATGACGTCAGCACAGGCTCATCAGCTGAGACATGGCCACCACTCTGGCGGCGGACGCTGACAGTGTGGAAGGGTCTGCTTGTGTACGGTACGGGGTCTATGGGAAACCTCTGTACTTTCCACTCCATTTTGCTGTGAATCTAAAATTGCTCTTTTAAAAGTAAAATAATAAAATAAGCATAAATTAAATAAAGCTTAGTAAAAGCCTTAGATAGTACTACAACATTGGAGTAGAAGAATCTCCTATGAGAAACCCTGTCCCTTTACCACTTCCCATTTTATTAGAACTGATAAGGATGCGCTTAACTTCCCAAAAGGGCTGTTTTTAAAGATTCCAATTGTAGATCCAAAATCTAAAATACTCTAGAGCAGGTGTCACTATTTTCCCCATTCTAAAAGTGATAACACTTTTTAAATGATGACGCAGAGAGGTTACACAACTTTATACGACATCAGAAAGCTAGTAAGAATGGAATGTAGACAATCCGGCTTGAGATTCTCTGTTCTTAACCACTGTCAAAAGCGAGCAAGACCAAAACTTTGCAGTGGATGTGGCCACTAAGGACCTCACATTAGTGAGTGTGACTCCACTCCCCACAGTGAAGGAAGCAGAAACCAGAAGGCGGAGGGGCATCTGCAAGAAGAAGAATGAGGAACTGCAAAATATTCCTGTTCCCATCACTATGGCCTTTATTCCTGACACTTCTGAATTCAGGCTGATTCCTGAAGGCTGGACGTCCCAGAAGGGTGTTGAGAATTTTACCATACAACAAAAGCTACTTTCCCAAAAAGCCTTCGAACAGGCACTTAACTTCATTTGATTTTATTAAACAAAGAAAAAATTGACACAATTCAGATATCTAGGCTGTTATGGTTATTTTTTTATCTTTTGGGAGTTAGTTTCTTTTATAATATTAAGGCTGATTCAACAATCAGCATTTTTTCTTTTTACTTTTCATATCAATTACCATTAACTCACTTAATGCTCACTCACACTTCTGTAGGACAGGTAATGTCTTCAATTTTAGAGATAAGAAATCCAAGATTAAGACTGTTTGTAAAGACTTACCTATTAACTTAAAACGGATCAAAGATCTAAACATAAAAGCTAAAACCATAAAACTCTTAGAAGAAAACACAGGGTAAAAGCTTTTCGGCAATGATTTGGCAATGATTCTTAAATATGACACCAAAAGCACAGACAAAAAAGAAAAAATGAGATAAACTGAACTTCAA